GGGAGGTAGAAACAGACTATCCAAGAGATTTCATTCATTCATTCATTTATATCTCCCTCCCTCTCTCTCTTCCCTCCCTCCCTCCCTCCCTCTAGATTGGGGGAGGTAGAAACAGACTATCCAAGAGATTTCATTCATTCATTCATTCATTCATTCATTCATTCATTCATTCATTCATTCATATCTCCCTCCCTCTCTCTCTTCCCTCCCTCCCTCTTTCCCTCCCTCCCTCTAGATTGGGGGAGGTAGAAACAGACTATCCAAGAGATTTCATTCATTCATTCATTCATTCATTCATTTATTCATTCATATCTCCCTCCCTCTCTCTTTCCCTCCCTCCCTCTAGATTGGGGGAGGTAGAAACAGACTATCCAAGAGATTTCATTCATTCATTCATTCATTCATTCATTCATATCTCCCTCCCTCTCTCTCTTCCCTCCCTCCCTCTAGATTGGGGGAGGTGGAAACAGACTATCCAAAAGGTGTACACAAAACCTTCATCGTCATTTTAGCCATTGCCTCTCCACTGTAGGGCGAAGGCCTCTTCCACATGTTTCCAACCTATAGGGCCCTGAGCTTTCTTTTGCCGATTGGACCCATAAAACGTACATATACACGTATCTTCCAGTTGCCATGTTAAGTAACACAGCTGTACAGGACCCACACCACCTGCCCAATAACACACAGGCATGGCCCATGGTTTTCTGTGGAACCTTCATCCACCTCAAACCAGATGTGCCCCATTCTGCTGCTGCTATAACACAAATCCTCCATCCATGGAGCCTTCAGATCCACTGGAATTGGGTGGAAAGAGCAGCTCTAACGTGGGGCAACTACCAACCCCATCATTCCCTGCTGTCAGCCCTTTGAGGTAGGCCAGGTCAGGAAACAAGACACAAGACATCCTGGTAATCTCATTTATTGATACAGGTTACCCTAACAGGATTGGACGGCGTGCTCCCTTCTCTCCTTTGTATACCAAAGAGAATCAATAGAGAGCAATCTTGAGCTTCTTCCACATGCGTCCCCGTTTTCCTGGGGTAAGTTCATATTTTCCCCACAATCTGCCACCTGCAGATCGTCCTTGACTTACAAACAGTTCATTTAGTGACCGTTCAAAGTTACAACGGCACTGGGGGGGAAAAAAGTGACTTAGGACTGGTTTTCACATATACAACCGCTGCGGCATCCCCCATGGTCACATGCTCAAAATTCAGACGCTTGACAACTGGTTCGTATTTTATGACGGGTTGCAGTGTCCTGGGGTCACGCGATCCACATTTGCGACCTTCGGACAGGCGAAGTCAACGGGGAAATCCAGATTCACGTTAACAACCGGGTGACTAACTTAACCAATGCAACGATTCGGTTAACAACGGCAGCAAAAAAAGGTTGTAAAACGGGGCAAAACAAGAAGTATTTCACTTAGCCGCATAAATCTGGGGCTCAGTTGTGGTCGTAACTCGAGGACTACCTGTACGGTATCTTGAAGGCCATTTCCGTCGTCTTCTATATCAGGGGTGTCCAACCTTGGCAACTTTAAGACTTGTGGACTTCAACTCCCAGAATTCCTCAGCCAGAAAAGCTGGCTGAGGAATTCTGGGCGTTAAAGTTCACAAGACTTAAAGTTGCCAAGGTTGGAGACCCTTACTCTACATCTCAAGGAGGAGGACTAGTAGGAGATCAAAGGCAAAGCTACCCCTGCACGGGACATTCTAAATGTCTCTCCCAGCTCTTCAAATTCTCTGAACCACCCCTACTTCATCCTTGTCTTACCAATCGGGGTCCCAAGAAGGTCCTGCTAAACCTTGAACCATGTCCAATCATGGCTTAAAGATACCCACAGCTCCATTCTCCATTCAACACGAAAGTGTCGTGCGCCCGTCGGATTCTGAATCCGAGAAGGAAGATGAACAGCCGACAGGGAGGGGTAGTGTGGCTCCTGTTGGCTGTGGAGGAAACTGGGGAAGGAGAAAGTCCGGCTGGGCAGAGCAGAAGAGAGGTAGAACAAGGGAGGGGGAGTTCAGAGGAAGACCCAGGCCCACATCCCCTCTTCATCCTAGGGCACACAGGGAGGAACAGAGAAGGGAGCAACGTGGGTTGTGTGCTTACGGGGGAGGAAAGGGCCCTGATTCCCTTCATTAGCCACAGCTGGGAAGGGAACTTAAAAGAGATGCATGCTGAGTGCGGCAGCTGCTGGGAGCAAACGTGAGTTTACCTTGTGTTGACTTTGCTTATCTGTACTCCTGGCATCTTCCCAACCGTGTGGAGTTATTGCCGTGCCTTCACTTCTGGAATTCTTGCTCTTGCCCTGCTGGACTAATGATCTCATTTTGCCTTGATTGGACTTATAGTTACAGTTTTTGTTGACCATGTTTTGGACTTGATTCTCTGCAGCCCAAGGCTGTTCCTGGGAGAGTTTTTCTCCAGCCAGACGGCAACCAGGACACTGGGGGCAAAGTTGGAGCTCATAAAGGGACTCCTACATATTATTTGACTGTACTGCCTTTGTGCCACGCCCCTTTGGGTCATCACACAAAAGGTTGGAAAGCCCAGCTGGGCTTTCTTGGGCCTATCATGGGAGGGCAGATGCTATTTTGTCGTGTGTGTGTGTGGGGGGGGGGGTTCAGGACACAAAGGCTGTGGGTGTGTGCATGACAGCTGACAAGCATTTCAGACCTCTCTGGTTCCAGAAAAGGATCCCGTCTTTCGACCGAGTCTGAAAAAAAACCCACAGCCTCTGAGCCAAGGGGTGTAGAATATCAGCATTCGGTGCTAATCTCCCGCTTTGTCTCGCGGGGTGCCAGGAAGATGCCAGGGTTCCCGTTACAGCCAGCGGATTGTGGCTGTCTTCGGGCCAGGGGCTCTTGAGGAAATGGCCTGTCCTCACCTCCTAGAAGAGCGGCTGCCTGCAGGAGAGAGGGAGAGAAAGAGGAGAGGGGGGTGGTGTCACTTAAAGCGGAAACCCCCAGAAACACGTTAAGGCAGGGTTTCTCAACTTCGGCTTCTTGAGAGCAGGAGGAGGAGAACTATGGGGACTTTGGTGCTCTCTGAGCTTGGTTGTTTTCTTGCAGACATTTTATTACCCAACTAGGTAACATCATCAGTGCAAGAAGGAAGTCGGGGTTTGGAGAGAGGAGGAAGAGGAGGAAGAGGAGGAGGAAGAGGGAGGAAGAAAAGGGAGGATTGTGAGGTTCTTGGTGTTCTCTGAGCTTGGTTGTTTTCTTGCAGACATTTCATTACCCAACTAGGTAACATCATCAGTGCTAGGAGGGAGTGGGGTATGCTCTCTGTTTATATACTAGCGGCTTGCCCTGTCAGTGGTGGTGGGGCCTCCCATGATCCTCATCCAGCACTGATGATATTGCCTAACTGGGTCATGAGACATCTACAAAAAAAAGCAGCCAAGCCCGAGAGAGCACCGAAGACCCCTTCATTCCAACCCTGGGCCTCAAAAATATTCTCCTTTATTGATATTCTGGAGAACACAACGAACTATTCTGCCTTACAAACGGAGGTGGCCAAACGATGGGAGGAAAAATAAAAAAATAAAAAAAATACTAATTGATATCGAAGGGAGCTTTTGGGGGCCTTTGCCAATTATTTGGAAATGTTGAATCACACGGAGAGGGCACAAGTTGTAAAAAGCTGGCTCGACTTGGAGCAGGAAAGGAGACGTTTTTTACAGTCTCGTTCTTAGATCCTTGGCTAAAATCTGAATTTCCTGGCCTCTGCGCCTAGGCAATTGGGCTGCGATATTCCTATACAGATGAATTATTATTATCGGTCAAAGACCCAACGAATAGCAGAGACGACCTCAGGAATGAAGCCAGCACATCTGGAGGACGCCGATCTGTCGAAGGTTCGTGAAGGAAGAAAATCGGGGCGTTCTGAAAGGAGCGCAGATGACGTGGCAAAAGCAAAACGACACAACACGTTTTATTTTATTTTTTTGTCCTTACTTTGCTTGTTCCTCGTGGACTCCGAAGAGTTGGGGCGAAGGGTCGGGTGAGGTCCAGACGGGGAGAACTGGGGGGCGATGGACGGGAGCTTCCCTCTGCCGGGCCGGAGGTTCTGGAAATCTGAGGCGCAGGGCAGGTTGGGTTTGCCGGCAAGGCTCAGGTGGAATTCGCTGCGCGCGGGGGGGGGGGGGGGGGGGAGGAACGAAGAAAAAGAGAGGGATGAGCTTCGTTGGGTGGCTTGGGAGAAGGAGAGGAGAGGAGATGCTGAGTAGGTTTGAATAGATGGAAACAGTTGTAGAATAGAATAGAATGGAATAGAATAGAATAGAATAGAATAGAATAGAATAGAATAGAATAGAATAGAATAGAATAGAATAGAATAGAATAGAATAGAATAGAATGGAATGGAATGGAA